TCTGTGTGTCGGTCTGTCTGTCTGTCTGTCCGTCCGTCCGTCTGCCTGCCTGTCTGTCTGTCTGTCTGTCTGTCTGTCTGTCTGTCTGTCTGTCTGCCGGTCTCTCTGTCTGTCTGCCTGTCTGTCTGTGTCTCCGTCTGTCTGTGTGACTCTCTGTCTCGCTGTTTCTCTGTTTAACTGTCTCTTTGTCCCTCCCTCCCTTCCTCCCTCCCTCCCTCCCTCCCTCCCTGCCTCCCTCCCTCCCTCCCTGGTTGCCATACACTTGCGTTGCTGCATACAGAACTACAGCATGTAAATGTACTCGAATGTATACAGATATATACACATGTGGCACTTATGGAGGCGAGTCCACTTGTCTAAGGCTTGCCCGCGCATACGTGGTGTATGTGTATGGTAGATGTATGTACTCCTGTGTCTGTAAACATGTATGCGTGCAGCTTGCAATCATCTGCAACAATCCGCCCCTAAACCCTAAACCGTTCCTTTGAGGTGCCGAAGCGTTGCGTTGTCACCGGTGGCCTTGGCTTCGTGGGCCAGCGCCTGGTCGAGACGCTTGTGGAGCGCGGCGCAGAGCAGGAGGGGCCTGAGGTCTGAGGATTTGTGATCAAGCGAGCTTTAGGGTGTTGGGGTGAGGTCCGCAGTTTAGAAGCGTTCACGCTTGAATGCTTTGGCCTTTCGAGGTTGTTTCTTTCGACATAGTGCCGCCTGCAGCCAATGTGTGTCAGAACAAGGCACGCTCTGACCTGCATGCTCCTGCTCACTTGTGAAAGTTCTGCAGCTCCCATTCGGCAATATACTGCAAGTCGACTCTTGGTGAAGGCCATTAAGTATGTCACGGCAGACCTTTGTGACTTCGACGCAGTTATGAAAGCCGTTGAAGGTGTCCGGCTCAGCTTTCCATGATTTCCATGCTCTTGCAAGCAGGAGCTGACTATTGCCTGTCCTGAGCTGGTTGCGAGTCGGCGAGGTGCAGACTGTGTTTGGCACAATGCAGCTGCGGTTGGCCCGTTCCTGCCGAAGCACTTTTACAAGAACGCCACTTTCCGGCACAATACCTAGGGATAGGGTCGGCAGTGAGAGTTTCAAGCAATTTTGGGGGTTCATGACACTTCGGCCTCCGTGCACGCGTGCATGAACTAGAATCCATACTACACTCGCCAGAGCCTTGGATTTTTTCGCGCAAGGCTTGCCTCACAACTCGGCCTCCAAACAGACGCGCTCCAGCAGCTGTTAGAAGATAGAACTGTTGTGAAACAGTGTACCGGCTCGAAAGTCGGTTCTTGTGCCATAAGGTGTGTAAAGTTATCTGTGATAGGTCATCTCCGTCCGGTGAAGGCTCCTTTCTCTAGGAAGGCTCTTTTCCTTAAACCGTCAATCCATGTGGACCGAACTCACGAATTCTCAAGTGGAGGTGAATGTGATCGGGACAAGGAATGTGCTGGAGGCGTGCAAACAGCAAGGAGACGGGATCGAGTAGGTAATTCGAGGCCATGCAGATCGCTCAGTTGGCCTGGAGGAGTGAAGAAAATGGTGTTCTCATCAACACCGTCTTCACGCTTCACCTGCACGGATGACGTTGATGGCCAAACAGAGGCATGCAAGGCGAGCTGAGTCGGCACTCCTGAGCTATCTTCCCTTGGCAGGCAGAGATGCCCGACATTCCTCAGGACTCCTGGGGGGCAAAGAGGTTCGGCAATCCATGATTCCTACCGACCCTGTGTCCTGGCCGAAAGGCCAGCCGGCCCGCAAAACAAGCGAGCAATCGGTCAATCTCCGTGCCGCTCTCGCTCAGCCAAGTCGAGGCCAAAGCCGAAGAATCCGCAGACCTCCAAGAGGGACCGCCGGGGAGAAAACCACCAGAAAACGAGAGATGCACCCGAAGGGAGTCTCAACGCTGTGAAGAAACCCCAAAAACCCAAATAAGTGGGCTTTGAGGAGCAAGCCCCAGACCCCCAACGACTGAGGAGTGGCGCCTCCTGACGCACAGATGCTGTCAATCGAAATTGCGATCGTCAAGCCTGAAAGTGGCGGGCCCTACACCCGCAAAGCGTGAGGTCTTGTAAGCATTGGCCGCTTGGCGTGCTAAGCAACTAACCGATATGCCGAGCATGCGGCCAGACAAAGCAAATGGTTGCGGGCAGGATCGCTATGTGGCCGAGTATTCGGCAACCAAGGCAGAAGGAGAACTGCTGCTTCGCAAGGCCCTGTTGTAGATGGATTTAGGGTGGATTTTGGGCTCATTTTGAGAACTTTGGTGCATACTGGATTGACATCTAAAATTCCAAGAATGAAAAGTGCCTTGCAACATGTACTACAGCTCAACAGAACATAGAGTGATACATACACACACACCGAGGTTAGTACGGAGCATGAAGCATTGCAAGATGGCTACATCAACTAGCCTCTCTCTCTCTCTCTGATATCTATGTAGATAGATAGATAGATAGATAGATAGATAGATAGAGAGGTAGAGATATAGATAGATAGATAGATAGATAGATAGATAGATAAATAGAGAGATAGATAGACAGATAGATAGATAGATAGATAGATAGACTTTTTTGCACACACGTATGCAAATGTACTTATACATATATTCGCATGCATGCACAGATGTGTCTCTCGCTCTCTCTCTCTCTCTCTCTCTCTCTCTCTCTCCCTCGCCCTTTCTGAAACGTAGACACGCATGTTTTCATGGATGTATGCATGCGTGCATGCATGCATAATGTACGTGCGTATGTGACGAAGATACACACCGTTTATGAAACCGCGTGTCATAAGTAGTTCGAGTCATTAGAGCCCTACCTCTTGACGGCGTGGCCCGCGACATGCGGGGTGCATTGAGTGTGGGGGATTCGAAACTCTGACCTGACATGGTTCGTGCCGTGCCCTGTTACTTTTGATTTTCAACAGGCTTGCAAGGAGGGGGAGATCCTCTTCATTGCAGAAGCATCCTCGGACGCTCTTTGTTTCTTTGAGTGTTGGATTCAAGACGTGGATGTGGAAAATTGAGGTCGCCCCTCACACCGTCTATGGGCCACGCGCATGCCCAAGCACAGGATGCAGGATCAGAGTCGGAGAGACTGTTTTCGCACATTAAGCTAACTGGGGATCAGCTTCAAAAGAGCTTGTAGCTCGACCTAGGGGACAACCTGTTCCTGCCGAACCTCTTGGAAGCCGCGGGCATTGGCAAGCTGCGTGTCTTCGGAAGTGGCAAGAGTCGGGTTGGGCTGCTCGGCTTGTATTGGCGGACTTGGTACGCTCCGACCCTGTGCTGTATCAGTTCGCGAAAATGAAATTTGTCCTTCATCTTCATTCCCTTTTCTTCGCTCCTTCACTGTCACTGAGACGTACTGTGTTCATTTATCCGTTCTCTCTTTGCTTTCGTACCTTTCTTGCCCCTGGATTGCAAAGTTTCAGGTGAGCTGCAAGACCAAGTCCTCCTGATTGCTTCCCCGTTCATGTGCGGGGCTGTACTGTACATTGCCTCTTCAGGTACACGCACGTGGATAACTACTGCCACGGCCTGGTTATCGCTGAGAAGTAACTCGCTGACATGAATTTCTCACCTTCTTCAATTTTCTTCTCGGCGTCTCATCGGTGGTTGATGAGTCTGATGCATTTCTGTACCAAGGCAACTCTACAAAGAATCACCGCATCTCGGTGCCTTGGCTTGATGATGGCCGAATTCTCCGTCATGCTCCCCACCGTGAACGGCCGCGACTGAGGGAAGTTCTACGTATGCACAGATGGCGCGACTCATCCACATCCGGAGGCTCAGGGGAAGAGATACAGAGTGCGATTGCAGGAACCCAGCAGACTTGCTTCCCCAGGGATACAGCATCTTCTGGGAAGAACTGGATCAGGCCTTCGACAGTTGCAGAGATCAGCCGCGCAAAGCAAGTGTTCGGATGCAGTCGCTATTCCCGCTGGCAAGCAAACTCTGCAAGCATCTTGAAAGATAATTCCATGAGATGCGCAGTCGAGCTCAAGAGGTCGCTGCAGTCAGATTTTCTGAGGCAGCGTTCATGTACCGGTATCGTCCCTCGTGGATTTGTCAACGGCAGCAGAAACATGGACAAGTTCCATGTGGAAGCTCGAGTCTGTTTTCAATTAAAAGCATTGCCCCACCCTCCCACCCAACGCCAGTGATTGAAAAATCAAAGCTAGTGTAGAGTAGATGGCATTCAATGCCAATGATTGTCACGAAAATGCGGTCGAAACATATCTGGCTGAATCTTGAAAGCAGTACCAGCTGCAATGCCATAATTGAGCACGTGCTTGAGAATGGGTGCATGCTTGCGGAAACATCGTTGAAGAGAACGGATGGGAACTGAACATCGAAATTCAGCGATGCAAAGAGTGTTTTTGGGATCATGATGTTGCTGTCCGAGAGTTGAGCCAAACTTGATCTTGGTGAGCGGCTTTTGTGAATGAAGCTCAAGATTTCACGACGAGGATGACCACGGGGAGCCATACTGTCAACGCAAATCTGGAGATGGTGATGCGAGCCACGCGTATGCTTGTTGGTTCTCCAAAGCCGTACTGTTTCACCCCTTACAAGGCCATGTAGAATATGCATGGGATGACAACTGTCGCGGTGTATGTGCAGATATTTGCTCAAGGGCTTCCTGAGAGTTTGCCAAGTCAGCCTACCAGCATCATGAGACAAAGCAAGACCAAGGAACGCGACAGGATGCTCACAGAAAGATGTACGGCCACCGTGTGGCGAAACTTCCCACATTATTTCGTGTCTCCATGAGTTCTGGGTACTTCTGACGGCTTCGATGTTTGCTGCACATAAGGCGGAGTCATCCACAAGCCTCGCGTAGAACGCAACAGTGTCTGCATGAGTATGCATGACCAGGATATCATGTTGGCTAAGAATACGCCTGGGGTAGTGGTTATACCGAAAGCTTGAAAGAACTCACCTCGATGTTGTATGAAGTGGTTTCGAAGGATCACGCTCAGCAACTGCACAACGAAATCAGCAATACAAGTATGACCGTATTGCCGATAAACTGCTCTGATCAGTACCTGAATGAGGTGCTCGTTGTGGATGCTTGGGTAAAGGTTCTTCATCACTTGTGCCAAGACTGTAACTTGGTGGCACGGACTTGGCAAAGTGGTTGGATAGGAAATCAGCACTGCTGCTGGCCGTGTGCTTCAGCTCTGTTGAACGAAGGTTCACGTGTTTTGATGATGCGGACGTCTTGTGCGTATTGCACGTGCAAGGAAGGATCGATAGCGGTACTCTTCTGCCTCGATCTTCCAGTAACCCTCATCCAGAAGACGTTTGAGCTCGGAAGAAACCCAGCTTTTGGGCATCGGAACATCACCCAGACATTTATCCGCGTCAGCAACCACAGCTTGATCCTTGTGGTTTTCTCGGCAATTGAACAGCTTTGTTGTCCAACCCACTCATATTGCGCTTGCGCAGGTATGCATTGAAACTGTCGATGATGTCTTTTCTGAGGAGACGTCCATAACGTCCATACCTTTCAATATCACCGTGTTTCGGAAGTTTCCAGGCATCTGAATGACCGGACGTTCGGACTCGACATTCTCGAAGAATTCCGCTACATGCAAACGCTCTTCCAATTTGGTGACGCTGTCAATGACATCGGATAGGGAACACTCGTGCTTGTCTACCACGAACTTGCCACCCTTGTTCAAGTAGAGTAAGATTCGAGAAGGAATGAATTCGCCAACGATCCGCGAGGACAAACTGATTTCCTGTATGACTTGCTGATGCAAGACTTGTAAAAGTTAATCGTCTGCAATCTGAGTTCCAATAGCGCCTATGCTTCCATCTGCTGTGGAAATCGCATGTGGTGGTCGGGGGGATGTCGGGGGGCTCAAACCGTCAAGAGGCTTGCCCCCAGGAGACACGTTTGCGACTTGCTGCAGGTCCTTTGCCTTTCTTGCCTTTCCCCTGACTTTTTCCTTCCCAACACATCCTTCATTCCTGCTCTTACCTTTGCCTTTGCTTGGGCGTCGGCTGGGCGAACGTCGAGACTTTCCATGAGACCTTCCACGTAGAGATGTCTGCGATTTCGGTCGTCAGGTACTTCGCGAAGGATGTGGCGTAGGGATTCTCGTCCTCTCGGACTTGAGCTTGGGCGGGGCAGTAGAAGAAGACGAAGGATCCATGTGCTTGACGTCGAAAATTGTCTCCACGTCGGGGAACTGCTTCACTAGGGCTGCTTGCTCGCTTCCTCTGGTAACCGTGAATTGCTTTCTTAAACTGCTTCCTTTTCTCAACTGCATTGCCTGTTTATCCAACTGGAGCAGTGCAATCAATTGCTGGGGGTCCATCTGCTGATACGTCGTTTCGGCTTCGATGATGGCCGCCTCACGTTTGCTGCCTAACTCGGCGGCTTCATGTAAACGGCCCTTCATCTCGCGATTTTCTTCAGGTATGACCACGTTCACAAAGTGTTTGCAGCTTTTGCTCGCACGTTGCAAAGACGCCTCGGAATGGAGAGAACCGAAACTGTCCTTCCAGGAGTTCCAAAAATCGTCTACAGACTGTTGCGCACTGCTGCAGCGGCCGGTCTGGTCTTCGAAGTAGGCCAAACACGTGATTGGTGTTGCATGATGAAAGCCTGGCATTCCAACGCATGTTTCCTACGCAAAGCTGCCCGGGCTTGCGCAAACTGTTTCATGATCTCGCCACTCTCGCGTATCTTCCCCTATTTGACGCCTATTTGTCATGAAGTTCGTGTTGACTTGCGACATGGTCCAGATCCTTGCAGAAGTCGGACTTCCATTTAGACATGGTGGTTCTCAATGTGGGGTCCAACGAAGAAAGGATGCGCGATGGATCGGTGTGCCCGTCTTCACCATTCGTTTGCGATGCCGATTGTTGCCGGAGTGACAATGCTTGTTCTTGTAACAAAGATACTTGTCGAGCCATGAGGCTCATCATGGATTGCGCTTCGCGCGCTTGTTGACGTCGTGGCCGCCCCGCAGCCGTACGTACCTAAACCATGCTCTTCACTGGATCTGGATCTCAGTAGTTCGCCGGCGGTTTGGATGCTGGGATGTCGTGTTGGAATATGACCCGTGCATCAGTAGTGAACACCATATCGACTGTTCAATAGAAAGGACAACCGTTTCAATGAGATGAGCAGTCGAGCTCAAGAGGTCGCTGCAGTCAGATTTTTTGAGGCAGCGTTCATGTACCGGTATCGTCCCTCGTGGATTTGTCAACGGCAGCAGAAACATGGACAAGTTCCATGTGGAAGCTCGAGTCTGGTTTTGATAAAAAAAACATGGAACGAGGTTGCATGTGTTTGCACTTTGTTGTGACATCGGAAAAGGTCATGTCAAGGCAGAGAGTCGCAATGTCGCGAAAGCAGGCAGTCACCGGCATGGGCTTCGACTCCTTGTACAGTGTCTTGGCTTCGTAGTTCCATGAAGTTCCATGGATTTCGCGATTCGCACAACAAGCCACCTGCAACAGGACATGAATGAATCTCAATAGGCAAGACCGTCCTATGAAATGGAGTGCGTGCGGAACGGTTTCTAGTTGTCGTTGTCCATCCGAGGCAAGATGGCTCTTCCTTATTTCCTGCTGAGGCGAACCTCGAAACATCTTTTTTTTTTTTTATTCATGTGGCGGAATCTATGGAAATCCCGGAGAATCCGCAGGATTGTCGCTTTCATCTGCGACACGATCACTGCATTTACCGGGAAGAAGTTGAAGCTCGGCTGGTTCACCCTGCGGATGCTGACCATGCACAGGCAAGACTTGAAGCGTAGGGTGAAGCCGCGCTCGTGCACGCGACGTCCAAGAGTTGCCGCTTGCGTTGCGGTGCAAGTGCAGGACCAGGATAATCGGTTGTCCAGACTGGCCATTAATCATGCTGCTGATAGGTGGTTTCGCATCACTGCTGCGCAGACTGACCTTGGTTATCAGCCCGCGCCTGGTCATCTACGATTTTCCAGGTTTGGACTTCTGAGGAAGACGTTTCTCCCTTCAGAGACGGAGGGCTGATGCGTTTTTCAGTTTGGAGGAGGCACCCCAAATGTCGAGACTTGCTCCGAGGTGGTGTCATACAAAGAAGGGTGGCCAGACACCATCGAATGGTTCAGGACAGTCTTGAGTTTGGAAGGTGCTATATAGGGAGAGAGGTCTGGAATGAATTTGGGCAGAACCATTTGCGACCCGCGACGATAGGGGAAGATGAATCGGCTCACCTAACAGTCAGGACAAACCCTAAGTGGAACTGGACGCAGGAATAAGTGGCTGCCGACTTTCGATCCGAAGACGGCGTCTGGCACCACCGGGTCCATAGCGCAGCAGACGGTCGACAAGGCTGGAGGGCAACACTCACTTAGCCTCCGTCGATCTTGTCCAGTTTGACTAGAACGCACGTTTCCGTTAAACCAGAGGCGGATGTGTTTGCCCGGCTCGAGGTGAAGCTACAGGAGCAGAAAATGCAAAAGTGAGCCGAGACGCTTGTCCGTCTTTATCAGGAGTGACCTGGGAAGACAGAAACTAAAATCACGGATCGGCCTGCGGTTGTGCAGCACGTCTCCAGAGTCGTCAGCCCTTGCTAGATCTGCGTTGATTTCAAAGGCACCTTCACGACAGCCAGCAGCCGACCTCCCAACTGTTTAAGCTAACCCCTGCATGAACAAGAGGCATCACGATCTGCCGCGAAGCCTCTTTGTCAGCAGGAACTATTTGTAGATCTCGTCACATCAGATCGAGTGTCACCGTGCAGAGTCCAACGTGATGTCTGCAGTTTTCCTCGGATGTCAACATGCAGGGACCTCTCTTGTAGGCATGGGTGCGCTGCAACGTGCTCCTGAGCATTTTGGCAGGTCGAGCAAAACATCACGAAAGACAGCCGTGCCTGAAGCCCCGGAATGGGTCATGATTCCGTCGATTTGAACTGTGTGTGAGCTGCACCGGTTTTGCCTTGAATCTGTGGCGACGAAGTTCTTCCATAGACAGTTAGTCGTTTGATACCGATTTCCATGTAGGACTGCTTTTCTGGGCAGGCCAGAACTAGCTGGAGTCGGCCCAGTGTAATGTCATCTGATTCTGCTTTTCACATAATCACGCCGAAATCCAGGCAGTACCTGCGATATGCATGTGGCAATTGTGCGATTACTTCGAGAGTACTGTGTCACCTCGTAGATGTTTTGCTGGTTGTGGTTCCTCAGCAATGCTGTTTGTAAGCTGGCGTCCTGACATCCAATCCCTCACGATTCCAAATCGTTTCTAGTGGTTTGAGCTGCCGAGGCAACAGATCTTGGCGGGCAAGTCAAGGCCAGGATTTGGTAGCATGAGACGTGGTCTGGTGTGCGTTTGGGCTGGCCAATGTTGGCCGGCACGAAGGGAGGGTGGGCTCGACTGCTGCAAGAAGCTTACACTCGTGCAGACTCTCCGGGCAAGGACCTGCGCTTGGACGTCACGGAGCTGTTGATGCTGAAGGCACGGGAGCTGGCCACGCACTCCGAACCCCAATTCGACAAAGCCCTCGACGAAGCCCCGGCCAGGTAAAGCCTCGGCTCGTCGCCTTGGAAAGGGATGCCCCTCGGCGCTTCAAAGAAACGGAAGGTCTTCGGCGCATTCCATGGAATTCGCCTCGTACATCCTCGTACTGCGCCTCATAAGGGTAAGTCGAGTTAAAGTTGGGTGCTGAGGCCAGCGAGATGCGCAGAAGGTTCCTCGCGCTCCCTACTTGCGCTGGTGAGGCCCTGGTCGGGTTTAGGGCCTGTTGAAGGAGAGAGCACCGAGTTATGCCGGTTATGCTGCGCATTGCTGCTTCTAGCTACCGTAGAACTGTGGCGGTATGTCGTGGAGTGACCTACGACTGTCGAACGGATGACGCACTCCATGATACTTGCGACCAGGGTTCCGGTGCGTCACCGGCGCGTCGGCGTCTGTAAGCCTGGCCCGAGACCGTGGCAGGCTGGCGGCCGTCGCGGTGTTCCCGACGACTCCGAGAAGGCCGGACAGCCATGAAGTGATGAAAACACAAAGAAGATGACGGCCGGCCAGGCGAAGAAATCGATACAGGAGATGGGCGAGGCAAGGCCACGCTGCATGGGCATGTGCGCCTATCGAATGCACCTATCGAATGCAGGTTTGGAGCCTGTACTGTCCCGATGGCTCTGACTCTAAAGCGCCTTCTGTGAGTGAAGGGTGCTAAGCGGGCATCGGCGAGCCATGTCGCTGCCTGCCCGGCTTTGGAATCCCGGCAGCGCGATCGTGCAGGCCCGGTTCACAGGGCAGGTTAGGCACGACGTGTACTGTCCGAGCTGCGCCCAGGAGTTCGCGCGCAGTACCTCAGCCCTTCTCAGCCGCTGTCCTCCTGAGCGATCGCAGCTTGGATGCATTGGAGGCTCCATGCTCTGAAGACCGTCTCCGCTCGTGGTCGATGAGGTTCTTCCCTTCGGCTCCGGCCGAAACAGTTGAGCCACCACTTGGAGAGGCAATTCCAGAAGGTCTCCCGGAATTGTCTGAGATTCCTGACGTCCCTGCTGATGTGCCTGTGGAGCCCTTGCCCGGGCGGACGTCAGAGACTGCAACAGGAGTGGGATCTAACTTCCTGACCGGATTCTTTTCCGGTGCGATGAACACTTTCTTTGCTCCCGAACGACAGGCTGCGGAGCAACGGGGAGGGTCGGTCGCCTCGCTAGTGACCCACGGCGTCTTCCTGACAACCGCCTGGTTTGTCTCACGCTCATCGCCCTGCCGTGGAGTTGCCGAAGTCATTGGCTCTGCCTTTCAGCGGGTGCCGCTGCTTGGACAGGGACCCTTGGGGTCAGTTGTGCAGATGGTTGTCGGAGCGCAGCTGGGGGAATACGCAGGGCGCAAGCTTGGCGAGCTCCGCGGGAAGACAACTAGCCCCGCAGTTGGTGCTGAAGAAGGTGCCCCGTTCGAAATCTACCTGTCAGAGATGTGCGTGCTTTGCCACGATGCTTTTGGGAACGGAGCGAATCGCGTGGCTGCTTTAAGTTGTGGCCATGCATGCCTATGCTCCGACAATGGCTGTGCATCCTGGAAGCAAGAGTTTCGACTGCACAGACAGAGTTGCCCAGCGCTTGCCATTGCGGGACCAAGGTAGCCCAATGGGAGGCTTCGGCCCCCCAAGGCCAACGAGTCTGCCCAGTCTGCCGTCATGAAGGAGCTCAGGTGATGTGCTACGTGAGAGGATGAATCTCCGAACAAATTGGACATTTGACATTCTGCCGCAATGCTGCGATGGTACGCCCCTTCAATCAAGTGTTCGCTCATCAGCGTGTCTTAGCTCTTCATGTTGCCAGCGTAGTAGGCTGATGTGCATGGTTGAATCTCAAGAAGGGTCGTTCTCAACAATCCCCTGCACTGTACAAAGCTAGGACCAGCCACAGAAGCTGGTGCAACATTGTTGAGCTCATCCACTCGTCGGGTGAAAACATTCGGAGCTGCCCTGTGAAAACGCAGGGGAAGCGAGACCGTGTTGCTTGAAGGCTTTGCTCGACAGAGCACGGCGAGAGATGCAACGGCAGGAAGATGTCGCTCCAGCCCCGGCTGCCAGCGGTCACCCACTAGGTCACAACGCTTTGGAGAGTGTGGCAGACGCAGTCTCTCAGGCGCAAAGCCACACGGCCAAGTTCCACTGCATCGAGGCATGGAAACCAGAAACCGAAAGCTTGAGACCGGACCCAAATTTCCGTGGGGCTGGTAAGTCTTGCACCTGTCAATCCGATCTTCACACGGACGGAGATCCAACCTCCATCTCCGAAATCCGAACTCGGTGGGGCGGCTTCAACTTGCGAATCAGCCGGTGCATACTGCTCCTCGGGTTGTCAGCTGTGGCCAGCGCAGGCATCCCTGGATGCGGCCAGCCGTGAGTTGACCACAGAGGTGCTGCTGTGGAAGAGCCTGTCCGCCGCTTTACTTCCCCCTTCATCCTTCCACTGAATAACAGGATCTGACAGGATCAATATAGACAATATAGGCTAAGATGATCGCTATCAGGGAACATGTCTAGGTTTGACTGCAGGCCCGCAGCAGCATGAAGCTCGCGGAGGGGAAGGTGCCAACTCTTGACACGAGCCGGATCTGCTCTTCAGGGTCTTCGTGCGGTGCAGCATTCTCAGATAGAGCAAGAGAGTCCCAGCTGTAGACTTTCGCAAAGCATCCTTCTGGCTCTATGCTGACTCTGCAAGCTCTCTCCAGCCCCACACATCTCTACACATCTCTCGCCTCCATCATCGCTATCTGCATGTACATGTGTCATCTGTGTTTTTTGCGCTCTTCGCGAGGCCGAGGCGCTGGCCTCGGAGGTGGCGGCAAAGGCCCGGGGGGGGAAACCGAAGCGGGTTCTCACCGGGACCCAACCACCGGGCGGCCTCTTGGAGGCGAAGGAAGAGGCGAAGTCCCCACCCGCAAGCGCGCTCGCTCGCTCCAGGTTGGGCGAAGTGCCGCAGAGGAGCAGCTGGATGAGGCCTCTCAGCGTGGCTTATAGGGTTTAGGGAGAGACGAAGCTTTCGGAGAACCGTCGGCCAGGCTCTGGTCACCTTTCGGGAGGAGCTGAGCCAGATCCGAGGTGGCACTGTCGAGGCCCATAGACTGCCAGCGCCAGCCAAGGTCTGTGAGGCTTTGAAGCTTTAAGGCACCTGTCAAGGAGGTCTGCTGGTGATTCGCAGAGACCCTTGGTTCATCCGATTCCAGTCACAGCCGTGAGAACCTCTCTTTGAGACGGCCCTCTTGCATACCTGTCGTAGAGTGGAGCCAGGCTAGCCAGGCCAGCTCGCTCTTGCGAGCCGAGCTTTCGGAGGCGAAGACATGCTTCTCAGAGGTGGGGGCTTGGCGCATTGGGAACCTTCAGAGGGGCAGCAACTACGCTAGCCATAATGTACTGACGGAACCGGAGGCTCTCTTTGCCAATCTGTAAGTCTTCGACCAGTTTCCATACCTTTTTAACTCATTGTATTTATAAATACCCTTGTGACTCGAGCCTGAGCGTTGGAGCCCTTCACAGGCCGATGCACAGCTTTGTGATCAGATCGACGGTCTGCGGGGCTCCCTGACGGAGGTACGCAGCCGGGTCTCAGATGCTTTTGTAGCTTTCAGTGAAGACCCTTACTGCCCTGTATGTCCTGTGCAGAAGTGTAGGCCAACGGCGCGCTGCGAGTGCAAGTGGAGGAGGCGAAGGCAGCAGGTAATTCTTCCAGCGAGGCCCGATATCCCTGAATTCGGTTGTTCGTTGCGGCTCGAGGGCAGCTTGCTTGAGCATCCCTGGGCCTCGTGCTCTTCCTGAAGGCGACTGGGTGCCTTCGTCATGAAGTCGAAGCTGTCAGCTCCGAGGCCAGAGCCGTCGGGAACCGATATCGTGCGAAGATCAGAGTCGGTGAAGCTGAAGCAGCTGAAGGTGCGAGTGACGCAGCAGGAGGTCCAATCCTTAAAGCGAGGATCGCAGGAGGCCTCCGCAAGAGTCAGATGTCCG